ATTGTTTTGCAGTTTTCGTTGGCGCCATCTGTACATACAAGCGATCAAAGTGCTTTTGTGGTCATGTTATCTTCATAAGAATGCAGATAAGATATCGCTGCTAATATTCCAATTGACCACAGCGCCTCTCCTTGAATTCCACACATCAAGTTATAAAAATCATATTGCCAAATTTAAAAATATTCGGCCTTGATTTTAGAAGCTAAAGCCGGCATTGAAGTCCGTCAGGCCTTGCCCATTAAATGAGGCCGTCAAACTTCAGTTTTAAGCTTCTGGTTCCTTCAACCGGATAAAAGCAGTGGAAAGGCCGAGATTTTGGTATTGTGTGGGAATGCAAGGCCTAAAGTTATATTTTCCCTTATGTAGCGACGATAAAATACCGCATCAAAGAACAATTAGCTAACACACTTAAGTTCAAACGGTAGCCCAGATCAGTTCCCGTTAGTTGAACATCCCCAAACTAATTATGTGCAAACAGTGCGTGACTTGTTGGGTTCCGGTTCGTTTCTCTCACACCCTATTTCCGTTCAAGCTAAATATACTCCTGGCATCATTACAAGCTGGCAATTTCTTTTTACTTAGGCCAACCTTGTTTTCCTTTCTGACATGCTATAGCTAGATTCGGAATAACGCCGGCTGCTCGTAAAAAAACTACTGCGCCCTTCAGATTTAAGTTTGACCTTTTGTACTGACCGTTCGCCGACGGTAATATTAATTTCTTACAGGTGAAACAACTACTTTTATTGTGTGGGCAGTGTTAACTCTCTGATATGTATTGGAAGTCACAAAATGGTAATAGCCGCTGATATTTGATTTCGGCAGTATCGAACCATTTTTGGACTCGCTTTTCTGCTCCGCAGGAACGGGTCTTTTGGGAGAGTACGTAGGTGGGAGGCTTGCTCTACCCGGCGGCCGACTGAGCATTTCACCGCATTACCTCTGAGTAGGCAATGTACTAAGAGGAAATGAAACTCCAAGGACTGAACATCGGCACTCAGTGAAAAAAGTAAAGCCATACCGAATGTAAAACCTTGCTCGATAAGTTATCCAGAAATAACGGAGCAGTTTGTTTCCCCTAAGGATTTTACTCGAATGAGAAGACTGGCGAAAAGTAAAATGTTTCGGCAAGTAAGCAATTTCCTCTACGAATTTTGCTGAGTTGCTAGAAATGTCTACCTGTTTTACAGAGAGTAGCTGAGAGTCCTATTAACTTCTAGTCACCTAGTCACTTATAAAACAAGTGTTTTCGTGTTTCCATAGTTGATATAATGGCCGTGATAATGAGCCAGTTCTTTAAATGAACTGACTCTGTAACAAGTAACTCCAGGTTCTGTTCTGACTTGGTTTCCCAATACAGCCGTACTGTAACTCAAATGGAATGTAGTCGACCTTTTTTAGCTTTCCCCCACAGTATGTGATTTTACAAGATCCGCCATAACTCATCAGAATTTTGATACCATTTTGTTAAAACTATTTTCGTAGACCTAGTCTCAACTGCTTCCGTTTTTAAGCTAAAAATAATTCCAACAATAAGAACAAATTTTAAATTTCATTTTGTTAGTGTTATTTAGTCTGTTGAGTGATATTTTTGACGAAGTTTAATCTATGATTCTATGATTCTAGCTGGGCATGTACCGTGACAGCAGCCAGCTGATTTCACTAAAACAACAACAACAACAACAACAACAACAACCGTGGCAACAAGCTGTGGCCAGCCAAACAAGCTTCTACACTAGGCCTAGGCTCAAGATTTTTCGAGCCAGTGCGGAAGGCGAAGTTACGAAACGTTTATGGAAAACTGAAAAGAACTTATGACTTCAAACTCCCTTCTAATATTAGTTAAAGGAGTACGATGACTGCTAAATGGTAGAATATTGATTTACTATTCATCCCATGCTCTCGCAAACTCCGGCGTAGAATAGTAAAATAAGAGTTTTGATACACTACGATTCTTTCGATTCTCCAATAACTTTATTTCTCCGTGTTCCGTTCTTCGATTCTCCATTTTTTTTCGATTCCACATTTCTTCTCATTCCCCGATTATTCTGATTTTTCGCCGGAGTTCTGGTCTAAAACCGGAAAAATCAGAAACTTTGATCAGCAAGGGACGGTATAGTTGCATGCAGTACGAATTGAGGGTGCGGCGGCAGTATTTAAGGGCTCCACACACCTTCAAGACAAATCCCAATTTTAGTAGTATTTGACAAAAATCGAAATTTTAGACTTCATCAAGGTGTGTGGCTCACGATTTTGAGCCGGCCCATTTTAACAGTTCCGGGCGCCATATTGGAATAGTAACTGCACAAACATCATAGCGAGGCTGACGGTGACCACAACTATATCACTCGTCTGCGGAGGGTTTCCGGGTATGTTACATTCCGCTTTTTAAATGGCTATACAAGTCCAGAAAAGTAAATTCTGGAATTGTATCATATCCAGAAGATAAAAGGTAGCGGTTTAAGAAAAATTTTGTGAAAATATCGGAAGCGATCGGCAGAATACAAGCGGACTTGGTGCTTGAAGTTTATGCAGTAGTTTAATTCGCCTTAAAATGCATGGTCGCCAGAGATCACTAGAAAAATTTCTTTTATAATGATGCATTTGAATACGAGGAGACATTGAGATGAATCTCCGCTCTGATTTAGACTACAGATCTTTGCCAGTTGCCTGAACATAGTTGTAACAGCTTGTGAATACCGACACGGCAAACGGTGACGAATATTTTACAAGCAAAAATTAAAATCCTGCCAATTTTTGACTCATGTACACTGTATGTAGAAGCTCGTCGCATAAAAGTAAACAGAGAAACATTGGAAACATTTCCTTAATTCCTTCTAAAGTCAATTTTTATCACTTTTTATTTTTAAATGTAATTTTACTTCGTCATTTGGGGGTTGTCCCACTCAACAATTTCCACATACTGTAGGCTAGCTTGTGTTAATTTTCTTTGATGAACTCAATTTTGGCGGTCTGCTTTTTTTTTCCCCTTTTCTCTTCTGTCATCCCATAATTATATTCATAAGTAACAGACAAGAACCAGGGGGTTATTGATTTCTATATTTCTTCCTTCGCTACTATTCTTGCATGGACAAATTATAAAACATATTTATCCCCGTGAACATATAAAACTCTTCTGTTTTATCAACCTAACCCGTCCACAGTCGAAGAAAAATTCTGTCACACGAGGGCAAAATATTTGTAAGTTTTGTCTGTTAATATGTAGAGAATCAGAAAAGGAAATGATCTATGAAAAGAAAAGAAGGATCACCGACCATGTAAGAAAGTCAACTGTAGGCGCACCCAGTGCCAAGCCCTATACTTGCTTACCGTAAATCCTCGAATAAGCGCCCCCCTCTCGCGCCCCCCTCGAATAAGCACCCCCATTTTGTGGACGAGTAGTGAGACAACAAAGGATGTATAGTTTTTGTCGTGTACTATTAGATTTGTGCATTGCTTCAGTTTGTGAAGAAATAATATAAATAAGAAATAACGAAGAAATAACACGTCTGCTCCACAGCAAATATGCTAACGAAGTGGGAAAAGTATCCTTGCTATTTAAAAGGTTATCGATTCGAAAATATACTTGAAAACTCCAATGGTCAAGAACCTGGGACCGTTCCTATGACGCTGCGCTGATAGCTGGTCACCTCAGTCTCACTATGATGTTTAATAATGGCGTCGGGGCCTGTAAAACTTTTTTTTTTTTCGGTCGAAACTAAAAAATTCGAGTCACACATTTGATATTTATCGCATGAAACTTTTGTCGTAAAAGGAGATCGTATGCGTAAAGCAGTGCGGCTATAAATTTTCAGTGCTATTTTCCGATAATTTTCTCAGCGACGAAAATCAGGCCTTGTAGCAAAAGGTCTGCGGAGGGTTTAACTTTCAGTACCTTTTCGTCTCTACAAACAGACGAGAGGAAATGATTAAAATAAAGCGTCAAAAATACTGTACGATATGTTTGCGGGTCTATAATGCTACAAATACTATAAGGGAGGACGTATATTAACGTGATACCCAATTTAAGTCATAGTCGACAAGCACAGAAATATGAAAAAGGAACCAATAAAGCGGATATCTAAGTTGAAAAGAAGCTGGAAAAATGTGCAAGTATAAACCGTGTGCATGTCTAGTAGTTGATGATCGTTCACCAAGATTCCCGTGTTTTCGCGCGTGTTATTTACTATAACTCATTCATTCATTAGTTCATCACACGTGGTGTGACTAGATCGCCTGCCGGCCAATACTGATTCATCACACAAACAAAATAACAAACGACCATTATTACAAACTCTTTCCCTACGTATACGTAAACATTTTCCTCATAAAACAGCTTTTAAAGTTTTGTTCTTATAATTATTGAATTGTACTCAGTTGTTTGTCGTTTCTGCGCTGTTCAAAGAAATCAATCGAAATTAAAAAGTCACATGCGTCCATATAGGATTATTTTTATAACCAATAGCGTTTTCAGTAATCCACATAAGGGATACCCATTGTTTTGTTCTGTTTTTTTTTTTTTATTTTATTTTTATCGAAACGTATCCAAACTATAATCAATGGTGTAAAGACTTACCTTGTTCTGTAGCTAAGCTCAAGATTCACTCCATCTCTCAGTTGTTTATCAGAACGCCAAGCACATGGTCATACGCTGTAGTATAACAACTGACCGGAAGTGAATTTAGTGACTGACTTATACCAGTTCAGGGCCAACAAAAGACCACAGGTCTTTTTGTGATCACGCGTACATGTTGCACAATTATTGACACATCTCAGACGCTAAGGCGTTCAACTAGAATTAAACGTCTGAAATCCAGAAAAGGTCTTTACAATTCGGAGAACTCAGTCCAACTTTAGTTCAGTACTTGGAAGTACGGTTTGATTCGAACAACGACGATTCCTGAATGACTTAATATTGAAAATTGAATCAACAAACTCACGGCTGGTACCCGCTGTATACGACAAAAAGGACAGATCATTTGGTGTAAGAATAGTTAACCAGTTGTAACTAAAACAGGATCGGACTCGTCAGAAACATATGATATCTCCAGCGGAGTTTATTTCCGTCTCCATTTTAGTTAAGTTTCTTTGTGATCAGTTTAAAATTAATACGATCCAAGAAACATCTGGCTTCTTTAGTCGGAGTCGAGTCGTTCGAGTTATGTATTGAAAAATTTGTTTGCCTCTCACGACTCAGAGAAGACTGAAAACTAAGATGCGCCGCAAACTCGTCCCCAGTCTTCGCGGAATCACACATCCAGAGAAAGCCGCATTTCCTATCCCTAGGCACCAGGCTAACCTCCGCTGCTACGACTTGTCCCTTTGAACACCCAGAACTAAGAGTAGGCTCAGGTCAGCTATGACAGCTACTGCGCCCTTGCAGGAGTGGAGAACACGGGCCTTGGTGGTAAGGAGGTACTTCCCTTCTCGTTTGTAACAGTCCCCCGAGCAGTCGTTCAAACAGAGGCGTTTCTTACACGGTGTTGTTCGTGAACATCCCTATTGTTTGATATTTCACATTTATAAAATGATTACAATTTCTTTCTCAGTTGGTTCACCGGTGCATGAAAATGAAGTTCAAGAATTTGTTGTTGTTATTGTTGTTTATAGATAGATATGCTGACTGAATTTCTATCTGGCTCCGTGAATTCGTCTTTCCTCTATTCGGGTATGAACATTAAAACCAACCAGAATAGATTTTTGTAAACATCGCTTGAATACTGATGAATTTAATTTAGTTCATTTCCTGTTTTCAATTTTCACAAAGAATGATGTCACCTTGGAATCAATTGGCCACTAGATAACAAAAAAAAAAAATCACTTGTTAACATACTGACACATGACAATATTCTAACAGTTTTTAAATTCTGTAATGGAGCTATTTTTTTCCTACATGTAAAACGTGTAACTTAATATTGCTTCACTGAAGACTGAAATCAGTTACAGTATGATGTGAAGTATATATGAAATAATTCATATTTGAACTGCGATTGTAGATGTAAAACGTGTAACTTAATATTGCTTCACTGAAGACTGAAATCAGTTACAGTATTTTCATATAAAAATAAATATAAAATATATTCTAGGAACGATATAACGTCCCGTAATAATTTCTGAAATTGATCCTCCCTGAAATTGTTTACAATACCTTTCCAATACGAAAATACGGCACCAACGATTTGACAAGTTAAAATCTTCGGGATGGCTATCTATGTATGAACTAATACCTTACTAATATGAGTTAAGCCCATATGTTCATATTAGTCGTTTTAACGATCGAGAAAATCGCATCTGCTTTCTTCTCTTCACTAATGCTTCTAAGTCATTTAGATCTTGTTCACGGATCTGTTCATACGTCGTTTCCAGCTCTTTTCCTCTTTGTTCATTTGCCTTTAGGAAGGCGTTCGCTTCATCTGAAACAAAAAAATGACACAAAAACTCAATTAACACGTTGAAAACCTAAAATGATCTAAGTACTACTGTTTGTCGTAATAAATAATGATAATAATGATAACAATAATTACTAAAAAGCTAAAAAACTGATGTTAACTAATAATTACTAAAAAAACAAGCAAAATACCTAAAAAACTAGAATCTAAAAAAAAAAATTAAAAATATGATAAAGAGTTACTCTTAGTACTACTGCTCAACACTAAGCGAGCGTCAACGCTGACTTAAAGTGCCGGAGACTCAGTTTTGTTTCAAGACCTAGAAGACATGTACATACGACTTGTGCAGAGCGGATGGTCAGCTGCAGAATGCCATTAATTATATGTTTTTAATAAAAATAACTTTTGTCTCCCTTTATGACGGCGCCGACACGTCAAACAATGTCCAGTCTAAATACTTCTGCGGTCAAATGAACGCCCATCAAACGCCTTCGCCTGTTTGATGTTGGTTCGTGTAAATAATCAAATCATTTCCAGTACAGTTGGGAATAAATAAATTTTCTAAAGACTAAAAATATTGCACGAACCTATAGGGCGAGTGCAATTTGTAGTCTTTGAAAATTTACGGGTGCATATTTATTCCAAATTGCACGAGAAATATATAGAAGTTAAATAATAATCGACATGCAATTTAATTTCAACTCTCTGCACTCATAATCATTTTTTTATTTGTACTTAAGTTCATCTTTCAGCATTGTTTGGAATCAATTGAAGTGCTTTTAGCCAATCAGCATGCTTAAACGCTTGCATGTATATTATTAAGCTTTGAATCCACTTTACTAGGCGTTCGAACTTTCACCTTTTTTATGGAACTGACTCAGTTTACCAGTTTAGATTAGATAGATAGATAGATAGATAGATAG